AGAGGCAGGCAGGAGAGAGAGGAGGAAGCAGGTTCCCTGCTAAGCAGAGAGCCCGATGCAGGGCTCAATCCCAGGACCCTGGGATCATGACCTGAGCCGAAGGCAGAGGCCTTAACCCACTGAGCCACTCAGGCGCCCCTCTGAGGCTTAATTTTAAAGCAGAGACCATCAGAATGATTCATCAACATGGTCTTTCCCTTTATGTGACATTCTCTCTCCATTCAGAATTATTACAACACTCATGCAACTGTTTTATTTTCCTTTTGTTGTTGTGAATACTGCTTTAGCTGTTTGAGATCTCCACTATGAGGTCCATGTGTCAAACAGACATCTAGAACTCAACATGTCCAACACCGAGATCCTGTAAACCCACTCCACCTGCAGCCCGCCCATCACAGGCGATGGAGGTGCCATCCTTCCAGCTGCTCAGGCCAAAAACACTGCAGTCATCCTTAGGTCCAGACTGACTGTTCTCCCTACTTCCACCTCTGCTCCCCAAGCCTCCATCATCTCTTGCCTGGATGACTGCTCTTACCCCCGAAGAGCCAGCTATGCCTCCTTCTACACTTATTCCCTCCAAAGTCCACTTTCAACTTAGCAGCCTCAGTAATCTTCTTAAAATCTTTTATCATTTCCTTCCTCCCAAACTCCTGCAGTGGCTCCTTATTTTTCTCAGAGTAAAATCAAAATCTTTATAATAGACAGAAGGCCATACATGATTTGGTCTCTCATTGTCTAACTTCTTATCCTGATACTTTCCTGCTCACACTCCCTCCTACCTTCAAGCCTTTGTTCAAATCTTACATCTTACCCAACTACCTTAGCAGCCCCACTTCCAAAGGCTCTCAAATTCCCACTATTCTGCTCCATTTTTCTTCTTTCCATGCATTTACTGCCTTTTGACATGAATGCGGTTCTTTTCAGAATGTAAGTATTTATTATGTTCATTGTTTATTATCTGTCTGTCCCATTCCTGCCACCACCAGCTCCCTGCCTGTCTTGTTCATTGGTGTAACCAGCACCTAGAACAGAGAAAGTGCTCAATATATTTGTCAAATGAATAAAATTATTTGTTCAGCAGCTTATTTTGCAAATTAATAGAAAGCACTTTCTCTGTGCAAGGCTTAGAGTGGGGTGGATACAAAAGGAACAAAACGGATTTTCTACTCACATGTAGCTTATAATCTGGTAAGCACATGAATAACTCTAACACATGTCAAAGGCTCTGAGTCCTCCAGGACTCAGGACTTAATGCTAGAAGAAAGAGCTACCGGACTCAGAGCAAATCAAGTTTGCCTCTGACTGGAATGATTCCCAATGGCTTTGTGGATGGAGTATTTGAAATGGATTTTGAAAAACAAATGATAGGTTGATAAGTAAACACAGAGAAAGAGGTGTTTGAGGATCATAACTCACCCTGGAAGACATGAAATTAACAAAAGAACACTGAAAGGACAGTCATATAGTAATAATTTAATAATTATGTCAATAATATGTTACCGTCTTACTAATGTGGCATCATTTATGTGGACCATTAGAACTTTATAGGAGAGAGAGAATGATATTCATTTGTCTCAAACGTGTAGGAACAGGATGGCAGTTGAGATAATTTTCCAAGAGCACTGAATGCTGAGCTGAGGAATTAGGCTTCATTTATCTGATAAAGAATCATGTAGGGTTTGGAGCATGGGAGAAAGCAGATGGCATAATCATATCGAAGTTAGGTGAACTCATTTAGGTGAACTCCTTGAATTGAGGACGGCAATTTGTCTTATGAATCTTTCCATCCCTAGGACCCACCATAGCACCTGGCATATTAATCAGTACTCAAAAAATATTAGTTTATATTTCAACCAATGATTAAGGAGATGGTTAAAAACAAACTGTCAAGTGAGCAAGTCACATTCTGGTGACTGTAGGGAGGATGGATTGTAGGAGGTTAGAAAAGAAGGATACTAAAGCCCTAAAATAAGGTCACTTGAATGCAAGGAAGGGATGGGCGTAAACATCGCCACATTGGAAGAACCAGCAGGTCTAAGTGGATGTGGGGGCTAAAAGCAGATGAGCAATGAATTCTTTCCCAATACAACCTCAATCTACTCAACTCCCAACATTCCAACTACAGGATTTTTCACAGTGAAATCAAATTTAAAGGTAAATGCCAAGATTCCAATGTGGGGTTAGAAACTAACATCTCATTAAAACAATCAACCATAGACTTTTAAAGCAACAACTTCTAGGTAATTTCTGGAAAATTAAGTGAAACTGCAGGCATTCCTCGGTTTATAAATGTCAGGCTTCTGAATGCTTGGTTGTGGCCACACAGAAGAAATTCTTGGGAGGCAGCAAGGGCTGTGTGCAAAGCTTCGGCCTTGAGAACCAGCAGGCCTGGGTTTAAGGCCTTCCTCAACCACTCACTAGCTGTGCAGCCCTGCAAAGAAACCTGAAATTTAGTATCTGCAAGTTAACAATAAAAATAGTAGACAGCTAAGAGAGGCCTGAATGAGATCATAGAGATGGCTGGCACAGAGTAGGCGCTTCGTAAATGTTCGTCCCCCTGCTTTTCTTTTCTCATTCTCTGGAATCCACAGAGCCACCCCTACTTCCAACACAGTTCTGGCCAAAACATACTTTTATTTATAATGACTGCTCCACGAAAATATGTTTTCGTAATTACACATTCTATTGTCTTTTATTCTGTGCCAGTGTCCAGGCTCGCTCAGTTTCCTTCCACTTTCCCAGAGCTCAGCTCCAAATATGGTTTCACCAGCAAATTTCCCAAGTATCCTTTTATCCCGTCTCCAGGAAGATTATTAATGAAGATGTAAAATCAGGCTGACATGAGTAACTATGCTGAAGGCAATCCTCCAGACTCTTCTGTTCCACTCAACAGGGATATGGTGTCATTTATCATTAGGTCTCGTTACAGTGTTCTGACCCCTCGGAAAACTCACTTGCCTCCACATCTACAAGAATTAGTCTAGCAAGTGAACGCTCGCGAGTGACTGAATGAAATATCACGGCAGCATAGAACATCCCTTAAGTCACGCTGACCTATCACTCTCTGCTCTCATAAATCTTTGCAATCAAAACAAATTAGTCTGACCTGTTATTTTGAACAAACATTCTCTTTTGTTGTGTGTGGCTCATGCCCAAAAGGAGATAATGGACCAGTTGATAAAAGTCACCAAATCTCATCACCAGTTCAAACACGGTCAGGTGGTGAATAAAGAATAATAATTCCTTGGTGAGGGGAGAAAAGAAGGGCAGCGGAGCAGTCTATCCCAGATGCTGCCTCATGAAACTCATTCCTTAAAGTCCTGGAGGGAGATCACAGTCTGGTTTGAGACCCCAGAACAGTGGAGGTTTTCTTGAATTTGCTTTATCTTAATGGACCCTAGCCCGTATCCCTCACGGGGATTCTCTGTTCGAATTGGCTGAAGAAGCTGAGCATTGAGTGGGTGGCTGAGTTAGGGCAGGGGGCAGGGCACAATGGTGGGATAGTTCCCAGTCTCTCTCTGGGCTCCATTTAGTCTCCATATTATTTTCCTTGCTTCTTCCCTCTCATTTTTTGTTTTAATTGTGGGAAAACAAATATAATGTAAAGTTCACCCTCTCAACCATTTTTTTAAGGATTTTATTTATTTGACAGAGATCACAAGTAGGCAGAGAGGCAGGGAGAGGGGTGGGGGGAAGCAGGCTCCCTGCTGAGCAGAGAGCACGATGCGGGGCTCGATCCCAGGACCCTGAGATCATGACCTGAGCCGAAGGCAGAGGCTTTAACCCACTGAGCCACCCAGGGGCCCCCTTCTTAACCATTTTTAAGCGTACAATTCAATGGTATTAACTACATCACTACCATCCATCTCTCGAACTCTTTTCCTCTTGCAAAACTGAAGCTTTGTACTCATGACATAATCACTCCCTATTCCCGCTCGAGCCCTGGCACCCACTCTTCTGTCTGTATGAATTTGACTACTCTAAGTACCTCAGATATGCCACCATGCAATACCTTATTTTTAACAAACGCTATCTTCCTGTATTTTGTGTAAGTTTATAGCCCCATCTGAAACAAAATGGAGAATGAATAAATAAATCAGAAAAAAAAATAAAAGCAAAAATATTTCCTGGGGACTGGAAGGGTTCGATTCTGTATGCATCAAGTCAGTGGCGAGGTCATAATGCTTGCTAATTCGCATAAAACACAATGGATTGTAAGAAATAGTTGCTATTTAAACAGTTAGCTGATGTGCATACAAGCAGCATATTTAAGACATCAATAAGGTCAAAGGAGAGATGGAACATAGCCGAGGTTCCCACGAGGGAAGGAACGTCAAGATCATTGAACAAGGAAGCAACCGTGGATTGAAACTCGTCCCTAAAAGGCTAAGTGTGAATCTACTGACCACGAAGGTTATTGATAAAGCTGCTTCCATAGCATAGTGGTTCTCAAACTTTAGTCAACATAAAAATTACTCACCACAAACCCACCAAATCAAAACTATCTTGACTGGGACTCAGGAATCTGAATATGTCACCAGCCGCCTGGCTGAACCAGACACAGAATTTTCTCAGTGGTTAGTGCCATGGATCAGAGCTTGTGGGGCCTGCCTCTGTTCAACTGAGTAGTAAAATCTTGAATTATGTTACGCGCACGGACTCGCGGTATCTATTATTACCTATTTTTACCTGTTTCCCTTGTTTTCTTCTACATTGAGTACTACCTGACTGAGCTACCAAAAATGGGGGCAGGGGCAAGAGAGAATGACCCACCAGGGGAGGGATAGCAAGGGCTAGCCCTGCCACTGTCCTGCCACTGTCCCACCATCATTATAAGCCTGCAGTGGTTCTATTTTCTGTTTCTTCTCTCGCCTGCTGCTTTGTCACCAGGGATAGACCGGCTAGAGGGCAAGCACTGGCCTCAGGGAAACGGTGTACGGTGTGAAAGATCAGAATCTGACTTCTCTCTCATTTATGGCTTTGATTTTCTTCCTTTCTAGAATATGTCTGTGCTGGAGAATCACCACTGGCGATCTACGATCGGCATGCTTCGAGAATCGAGGCTTCTTGCTCACTTGCCAGAGGAAATGACGTAAGTGGTGTAGAGATGAAATGTACTGATGTCCACACCTTAGAGATAAGCCGCCTCCTCTAGGGCACGCTTGAGACCCCAGGGTTAACAGCACGGAGCCACCCGGCTGTGCTTCCTGCCTGCGCTCGGTGGTTGCCCCCAAGGAGATTCGGCGTCCGTTACAGCAACCCAGAACCTGAATCTCTCCATGAGCTTTGAAAGGCCCTTGGATGGTCTCTGACCTAACATCAGGAAGAAGGATAATAAACAGCTCTCAGCTTTCACACTCTTCAGCATCAGTGCTCAGCTTTGTCACATTCCTGTCTTTTATGTTAGCAACAGTGTCCTCCCATGAAGATCCAAATAATAAATATTTATCAAGAGGGAACACAGGAGATCTCTAGCTAGATTTAAGACTAGTTCAATAAAGTTTGTTTTGTAATGGCCGGTCTTAGCAAACACAGAAGTCAGAAATTCTTTCCTGGGATGTCTTTTGTTGAAGTAACTGAATTGGCCCCAGCCATTTTGGGGGCCATTAATTTACCTAAGTCTCTTGCATTTTAAACGGAAGGGGAAATACTAGTTTCCTGGTCCACTGTTTGTCCGTCCAGGTATTTAAGCCAAATCCTGAATCCAAGGCCAGTACCTCATTTTCCACATGGTTCTGAGTTAACTCCTGGAACATCATCCAAGGCCACCACTAATTCTAACCTGTTAACTTAAATGTGCAGAGCCCAGGACAGCTAGAGGAGAGTAGATAGACAGATCCATGCACCCATCTTTCTGAGGGGGCCTAACTTAAAGTCAAGCACCGAGTTGCCTCTCTGCAGAACAGGCAGTGTGCTCTGGGCTCCTACATGTATTCCTGGCCTTGTGACACTATCTTGCTGTTTCCTAGCACCCAGAGGAATGTGGCATTTGCAGGAAGAATTTCAGTTCTGATCGCTTTTTACCTCCTGGAATGAAATAAAACCGATCATCATGCAGGGATTTAAAACCTGCGCCTTTTGCTAGAACATTTGCAAAGATCCAAAGAACTAAATGCAAAAGAACTAAAAACTCGGGTAAGAAATCAAGTAAGAAGGAGAAGAAAAGAGGAGGGATATGTCAGGGACAGCTAAAGGAAGACGAGAAGGGAGAGAACGAGAGAGAACAGATAGGAAAGAACAAAACTAAAGGAGGAAAGGAGGGAAAGACTCGGGGCCAGACTGTCTCTGTTGTGCCCGCCTTAATCCTGCTGTCTGCTCAGTTACACTCCTTTCCTGAGATACGTCTACTCATCCCTATGGGTTCCAGATAAAAATGCCATGTTTTTATGTCTCTGTGGGATGCCGCATTATAGATCGCTTTTGTAGGAAGAATAAATGTTATGCAATAGTAAGAAAAGGAGTATGGGGACAGGTGCAAGGGTCAGACCATATATGCTATTGCTTGTACGTTCCTGCTCTCCGCCTGGCTGGGGATGACAGATATTTACTTCATACCTAAACATTCAACTCTGTGTGCTCTAAGCACCCTATAAAATAAAGGGATATAAAGTATGACACCATATACCTAAAACATGGAGGGGTGGGGGGAAGCGGAGGAGTAAAGAATAGTTTCAAACGTAAGTGATCATCAGCTTCATAAAGACTGCTATACGCCAATGTTATAGACAAACTTAAATATATTGAATTTTTGAAGATGAATTTTAAAAAATAGTTATGGATCTTTTCTTCTATTGATTACCTTCTATGTGTGAGGTAAAGCTCTGATTTGCTTGTTTTTCCAAAATATCTCATTTTCCCTCTACCGTTTGTCAACTACTATATCGCTTGCCTACTGATTTTTTAATGGTGTCTTAATTACCCATGATTCTTTTTTTAAGTTCCAGTATCTTTCCTAGCCTCTTTTGTTCCATTGGTGTATCTCTCATACCATAAAATCAGTCACTGTTATTATCTTCCTTATTATTACTCTCCTCATGCCCTTTCTCTCTCCATGCAAAGCTGAATGTTTGAGTTGGTTTCCACTTTTTTTTTTTTAAAGATTTTATTTATTTATTTGGCAGACAGAGAGAGATCACAGTAGGCAGAGAGAGAGAGAGGAGGAAGCAGGCTCCCTGCTGATCAGGGAGCCCCATGCGGGGCTCAATCCAAGGACCCTGGGATCATGACCTGAGCCGAAGGCAGAGGCCTAACCCACTGAGCCACCCAGGCGCCTCTGGTTTCCACTCTTTAAAAGCACAACCCAAACTCCTGCAATGCTATCCAGTTTTTTATGTCCCACATAATGCACGCATTTCTAGCCAATTTTCCGTCTTTAGACCTATGGTTACCACGGGAATGTATAAACTACCACGGCTGTTCGCTGTGCAGTTACTAGCACCTCCAGCCCAAAGACAGAAGTGACCGGGGGTCAGAGAGCCCCCTGGGCTCAGAGGGACTGGACTCTGGGTAACGAACAGAATCAAAGGGCAATGAGAGTCCAAGCCACCTGCTGGGGGCAGAACTGATCATCCTCCTCCAAAGGATTTGCTGTATGTGTGTGTTTTCTCTTTCCCTTTCGTGGATGCAGACAGGATATTGAACAGCAGCTGGGCTCCTTGATCTTGGCCACAGACATCAACAGGCAGAATGAATTTCTGACCAGACTGAAAACTCACCTCCACAATAAAGACTTAAGACTGGAGGATGCACACGACAGACACTTTATGCTTCAGGTAAGCAACAGCCACCGCGAAGTAAGCCACTGCCTTCCTTGCTGGGTAAAAACACTTCGTGACGTGATCAATCACTTTAGCACCTGTGAGAAGGCGTGTCCCCCATGGGATCAGTTAGAGCAGTGACCGACTTTATGAAAAGCTCTGAGACCCGTGAAATTTTTAAGTGTTTTCCAAGCAAGCAAAATCTGGGTTTCATGTCATCAAGTTGATAAGCCCTCACTTTTCCTTACCCCGTAGTGTCCACAAAGTAACCCTCTGGGGCAACCATACAAGGTAAGAACCTACCACGTTTTGTGGCTTGATGTAAAAGTGGTCCCTGTGATAGCTGTGCAACTTAGAAACACTGTTTCTATAACACAAAACTAGGTTATATTAACTGTAGTATGAATAAAATTGAAACCCAAGTAACCTTCTTTCATGTAAAACCCGTTTCATCAAACCCTGCTTTACTTCCTTTTATTCCTAAATTCATACGCTCACAAACTAGTCTTAAGTGAATGAACTGAATTGTGTCAGGGCAACCCTTTCTGCTTCCTTTCATGGCAAGGAGCCATTTGGAACATGAGAACGAGAGGGCGGGTGGACCCCATGAGGGCAGGTCTGAGCTGGTATCCAAACTAGAGCCTTTTCCTGTATTTTCTCTTGTCTTGTTTCCTTCCTTTTGGCACAAAAGGCTGAATGGATGGATCCTGGATTCATCTAGATAGACCAGCTTTACCCAGGGAAATGCAGCTGCACAGAGGAGACTGAACTGGGCAGTGGTTTTGTTCTATGCTTTCCTGCTGCTCTCTGTGGCTGTCCCGAGGGCTCCATCCTTCCTAGGAAATGCCTTCCTCCCAGCTGTAGAACTAGGTTTCCTTCCTTCTTTTCTTTCCAAACTCATCTTCTAGTCCCTGAGTGCCACAAAGATCAAGGTATCGGGTGTTCAAGACTCCCAGCCAAGTTGGGAGTAGCCAAAAGAATTGGCTGGCACACTTGCATTTCAAAAGCAAGGCTTGCTACGGCCAATGAATTCCCAAAGGGCACATCCTGGAGGCGACTTCTGCCCCTCACCAGCTCCAGCGTGGCCTGGCGTCCCCGACAACCTGGAAATAAGGAAACAATCAAATTTGTAACTTTAATATGATCAGGGCATTCCCACATGCCAGCATTGCCAGCGATTCTGTGATGCCAAGGAACCGGGTCAAAACAAACAGACTTTGCTGGTGGCCAGAACACGCTAGCAGGGGCACAATTTAGCAGTCGGTGGTTAAGGGAGAGAATGGACTTTCCTGAGAATTCAAGGTAACCCTCTTAGAGTCAACATTATTGACAAGAGCTGGCATCCCAGATCCAGACCAACGTGAGGTAAGCTTTGAATTAGCTTGGGTCGGGGCGCCTGGGTGGCTCAGCAGGTTAAAGCCTCTGCCTTTGGCTCAGGTCATGATCCCAGGGTCCTGGGATGGAGCCCCGCATCGGGCTCTCTGCTCAGCAGGGAGCCTGCTTCCTCCTCTCTCTCTCTCTCTCTCTGCCTGCCTCTCCGCCGACTTGTGACCTCTGTCTGTCAAATAAATAAATAAAATCTTTAAAAAATAATAACTTAAAAAAAAAAAAAAGAATTAGCTTGGGGCACAACACGCTCCAAGATTTGATAGGCCTTAGCTCCCTGGCTGGATAAGCAAGTCGGGGCTCGCTTGTTATCCACAGACAAAGGCACGAGAGCCCACACAGAAGTGAAGTGATCCACGGCGTCTGTTAGTGTGGCCACTGTGAGGATGAGGGCCAAATGATCTCACCCGAGCCTGGCTGGGGCCCCTGTGGCTTCCCCACTCGCGAGAGGTGGGGCGATGGAAGGAGCCAGGCCACCCGCTTTCCTTGGCCTGCCCACCCCAGGCCTCCTCCAGGAAGCTCGTGTCCTTGGACGGTGGCTCTTCTCAAAGCTATAAAGTGGGGATTCTGAATGAAGGTTTTGTGTGGTGGTGAATAAGTGCTGTTTCCTGAAGAGGCACTCTGTAAATACCGGCTGGGGACCATGAGGCCCCCTGGTGGGTGGGACAGCCCCTTGGGCTTAGGGCACCTTGGCTGTGGAAAGATCAGCCTCTGACCTTCTCTCCCGCCCTGTCGTCTCTCAGATTGCCTTGAAGTGTGCTGACATTTGCAATCCTTGTAGAATCTGGGAGATGAGCAAGCAATGGAGTGAAAGGGTCTGTGAAGAATTCTACAGGCAAGGTTAGTAGTGATCCCACCGCTGAGTTTTTCACCGTCCCTGTTCCTGTTGGACGTTTAGCCTCATCAAACAAGAAATGGCTAATCTATCGTGACATTTGTTCTTTCATCAATTCCTATTATCCCAGCCTTTCACTTTGACTCTCCTGCGAACCATTCAGCCCTTTTTTGGAAATAATTTAAAAATAAATAACACTGTCTTACTGTGAAAACAGGTAGTAAAGAGGGGTAATAAAAATGAGCAGAAGTGGGAAATAAATGTGTGTGTGTATTTATATGTATGTATATGTAATCTTTTTAATGGCATTCCTCTGTGGATATAAGAATGTGAGGGACAGATTGATTTTTGCTCTGACCTTCATTCTAATGAGCTTAGCACAACCTAAAGGCTAAATGCCATTTGGGGTCAATGTTTTCCACTCGGATGGGACTTAGACTCCTGTTTTCCTTCCCCCCGGCTTTCTTAAATAGAGTTAATAATGAAACAGAGCACAGCTGACCAAGAATTGAGCTCATCTTCTCAAACATACTCAGTGAGAAGAGAAATGGCTTCAAGTTCAGGTATAATTTTTGAGAGATTAACCTCATTCAGAAATAAGGCTATGAATGAGCGAACAGGATCTTGACGCTGGGTGGGATATCAGCCTTTAAACACAGCCTTGTTTCTTCAGGCCTGGTTTCCGTGCTCAGGATGTTTGTTCAGGCACAACAGTGCCCTGATGTTAGTGACAGGATCAGGTTTGAGAGGCTGAGAACAAATAAAGCCTGAAGTGTCCCACATACCAGCTCCGTGGGGAGGTCAAGTAGCAACAGTGAGCCTTTTGGAGAAGCTTTCATCAAAAGATGTGTCAGTGACATCGAGATGGTCCCAAAGACAGAAGACAAAGCAGATGGGACAGGGTTCACGTGGGGCCAGAAGTCTCTGCTCACCATCTCTTTCGCTCAGAGGAAAAGCACTCATGGAGTGCCCACAACTCTGTGTGACTTCACTTCAGTTGAGTGTGAGTGGCTAGAAGTCAAAAAATCAGTTCTTGTGGCCTATGATATAAAATCTCCACTGAGAGAAAACAAGGAAATATGATGAAATTGGAACAGGAGACTTAGATAAGACAAGTATCTTCTTTACTCTGTGATATGGAAAATACTGAAACATGAGAGAAGGACTAAGATCCTCATGCTTGGAAATCGAATGATGGGGCAGAAAAGAGATTCTACTCTGTCCCTCTTGGTTTTGACTCAGTCGTGTGCTCCAGATGGCACTGATTGACATTTAACCCTTTCCTTTGCTTATTTTACCTCTTATTTGAATGATGAGCAAGCAACTTGAGGCAGGGGGCCATGTCACTTGGGCAGATAGTAAGGCCCCCGGAGCTGGGGAGTTAAAGTTATTAACTACATGTAGTAAATGGGACCAACCAAGGAAAAGAATCTGTAAGATCTCTTTACCAAAACCCATTGTTGTCCTAACAATATATGCACATGCAATGCTACAAGATAGAGCAATCTAGAACATGTGTAACCCTGACCACAAAAGGTGAGCTTCCATTCACTTTGCTCTGGCGTGTCTCCTGGCAGAATTTGGGTTTCCACAGACAGCTCATAGTCTTAGCCCAAGTATCTTTAATGGCTCATGACGCTGAGCAAAGGAAAACCTCTAAAATCAAGGTTGAGGACTTAGCAGGGAAGGAGGATGACATCCCATGAATTAGGAAAATAGCATTAAATTCTGAGAACAGAAATTAGGATTCTGAACATCATTCAACTCCTTCCTCTCCATGTTTTAGGGAAGTAGAATCTCTGTCCTGTTGTAACCACCGGCTGATGTCGTCTCCATCAACCAAGATTCCCAAAAGTTTTTATTGAACATCTGCTTCCAGCCTTGTTAAACCCTAGCCCAACTATTAACTCCTCTATGTACAAAGCCCCACAAGGGGGTCGTGAAGGATACAAAGAAGTATAGTTAAAGGTTCAGAACCTCAAGATAGTATAAAGTGTAGACGTAGTAGTAGGCAGTAGATTTCCTGGAGTAGCCAAATGATGCAACTTTTCTCTCCGCTCTCTACACTGCTTAACAAAGAATCTGAAATGTACAGTGCTTTAGAAGTCTATGCTGAATGAATAAATGATCTAACTGGATGGCATCTCATGGTAGAGGTCACAGGAGAAGATTGGTGCTGAGGACAAAGAATCTGAATTGGATGTGTTGGAGGATGTGTAGTTAGTGTCCTGCATTTTCCAGTAGGAGAGCCATGAAGCATATGTGACTAGTTAAATTTAAAATAATTAAATTAATTAAATTTACACGTTAGTTCCTCTGTTTCATCGATCATATTGCAAAAAGCCACTACGGTGGGCGGTGCAGAGGACATTTCCATCATTGCAGAAAGTCCTGTTGGATGCTGCGGCTCTGGCTAGGCAGGTGTAGACATGGACAAAAGCACTGAAACGGGGACCTGCTTCATATAGCAACCTGGACTCATAGAAAGCAAGAATGTGGGGATTTGGGGATTTGTACGCCAACCAGGCTCAAGTAGAGAACATGACAATGAGAGTCATCTTAAAAAGTGCAATGGAGACAACATATGTAATTGAAGTAGAAGAAATACTGAAGGAAGAAAACCAACCAAGAAGCAAACACTAAAAGTGAGTTATTAGTAAGCCAGAATAGAGACAGGCAGAGTGTGAATAGGGGAAAAACAGATATTCTGAGAGAGGAATAAATAGGATTTGATGCCTCAATATGGAGGGTGATGGGAAGGGAGAAATCAAAGACAATTCCTCCAAAGTGTCAAGCTGACTGAAAAATCATGATGAATAGAATTATGGAGGTAAGGAGTAGAAGTCGTTTTAATATTAAATGATGTCATGCCCTGTCCTCAGAAAGCTATTATCATCTGGCTTCCCCGGATTCCTCAGGTTAATCCAGACTGATTTCCTTACCTCGGTCTTGAGAATAACCAGGGCCCAAGGGACCACAGGACTCATGGTTACAAGGCTTAAAACAAATGACAGAGGTGTGGCATCTCTGAGACCCTAGCTCAGCTGTTAAGTGCAGATAGTTGGAGCCAGACTTTTAGGTTGACACCTAGGGTCCCCCATTTACTAGTAGTGTGACAGCTTGAGTCAAAATACTTCCCCTCATCTCAGTTTCTTCATCTGTAAAATGGGTACTATAATGAAGTTGTTATGAGGATGAAATTAATTAACATACGTAAAATGTTTAGAATAGTGCCTGACACACATGAAACATGATATTAATGTTGTATTTAGATCTCCTCTGTGAACGCAGCTAATGTTTCTAAGGAACAGCTTCTCTACTGATTAACCAGACTCTTTTTCCCAGTGCAAAGGTGACCCATAATCTTTCACCCCGCAAAGGATTGATAAAGTATTCTGATGAAGCTTTAGATGGTACACTTGGCCTTTGGCCTTCTAGCTGACAAAGGCATTAAAAAGAAATATTTTTCTGACTTTTACACTTTTTTTTAAACTTTAGTTACACTAGGTGACACTAAGTCGGATTAAAGGTGATAGATTAAAAAAAAAAAAGGTGATAGATAACCTTTATTTCTGCTCAATATTGTAGCTACAGACAGAGATGTTCCTCGAGTGAGATTTTCTAGTCCCTCACTCCCATTTCCTGCCTACTCACTATTCCTGGTTCAGAGGAAATCAGACTAGACTCAGGCAGGGTGAAAGGCAGGGAGAGCACAAAATCTATTCACTTTAACTGTAACTTAAAGCCAGAACTTCCATTCCATGTAGGAAATTGCTCATTACTTGTATCCTTGTTTTTACAGATCTTGGTCAAAGGTTTATTCTAGTCCCAGAGCATACGCATTTACAACAAGCCTATTGTACATGGTCATTGACACTCTGATATCTTAAAATTTTCACAGAAGCTACCAGAGCAAATGGGTGCTAGAGAGTTCCTAATGGTAATAGGCAGCAATAACTTCTTTGAACTAGATCACTAAAGCTAGCAACACGCATTTTTACATATTCTAGATTACCAGTGTTTCTTCGTCTTTCTTCTTAGGTGACCTTGAACAGAAATTTGAACTGGAAATCAGTCCGCTTTGTAATCAACAGAAAGATTCAATCCCTAGTATACAAATTGGTGAGTTGAATTCAGTTTTAATTTTTTTTCAGTTTTAATTTAATTTTATTTTTTTTTAAGATTTTTTTTTTTTTTTTTTTTTTTTGACAGAGAGATCACAAGTAGGCAG